TGGCATTAAAAAGGAAATTCAAGAAACAGAAAATCAACGCGAAATATTGCACGTTGACTTATCACAAAGAGATAATTCAACGAAAGACAGGCAAGAAATGGAAATAGGTGCAGCTGAAAATGTCATCTTTAAGAGATCAGCCATGAAATTGACTAAACCTTTAAGGATATTGTATGTGAATGCTTTAGTCAATGGTATACCAGTGGCGAAAGTGCTCAATGATAATGGAGCAGCCATAAATACTTTCCCGTCTGGATGATGAGGAAGTTTGCAAAGACAGAAAGTGATATGATCCCAACAGAAGTTATTCTCACAAATTTCAATGTGGGAGCAACTTCGGCTAAAGGAGTAATGCCACTAGACATAACTGTGGGGATAACTACCAGGATCATAGTCTTCTTTGTAATAAATGGTCCTACTAGTTACAATGTGCTATTAGGAAGGGGACTGGATTCACGGGAGTCGTTGCATACATTCATCGCTCCACCAGTGCCTGAATTTCTGGAATGACAAGGGTGAAGCAGAAGTGGCGCAGGCAGCCCATAGACCCTTTGTCGTAGAAGCAAACTCAGAAGAAAGGATCATGTACAATCATCGCTCCACCAGTGCCTGATTTTCTGGAATGACAAGGGTGAAGCAGAAGTGGCGCAGGCAGACCATAGACCCTTTGTCGTAGAAGCAAACTCAGTAGAAAGGTTCATGTACAAAGGAAACTATGAACGTGTTAGGCTAGTTCAAGATGGAAAAGAGACTCAAATTGTCGCACAGAGTGAAGAGTCATTTTCAGTAGATGCACTTACTGAAATGTTCAGTCAAATGAGACCAAGTGGCCCTGGAAAAACCAGTAAATGGCAAAAAGGTAATAAAAGAATTTTAAATAAGTTGTCGCAACAAGGACAAATGGCCGATATTCGGGCATTCAAAGCCAAGTTAATGGCTTTCAATAAAAAATGTAAAAACAAGACGGAGAAGAAGCAGCATTGAAGATGTTGGGAGACATATTAGCAATGTTCGAGTTGGAGCAGAAGTCAACAAGGTGGATTGCTTAGAAGAGGAAGTGCTTACAAAGAACCTGGACGATGAGGTAATGAGGATCATAAAGCCTGGGCATGCGCAAGCACAAGACCCCTTGGTTAGGGTAAATATCGATGATGAAGGGAAAGATCGCCTAACATTTATCAGCCAGATGCTTAGTCAAAAGGTTAGTAATAAATTAATCGCTCCATTAAAAGAATATAAAAACTGTTTTGCTTGGGAATATGAACATATGTCCGGTTTAGATAAGAATTTGGTAGAACGTAGATTACCTACTAAGCCAAATTTTAAACCTCATAAACAACCTACTAGGCGTTTTGTCCCTAATGTACTTCCTGAAGTAAAGAAATAGATAGAGCGATTGTTAAAAGCAGGTTTTATTAGGACGGTCAGATATGTTGAATGGTTGTCTAATATTATTCCAGTATTAAAAAAGAATGATAAATTAAGAGTGTGCATAAATTTTAGAAATTTAAATTTAGCAACACCTAAAGATGAATATCCAATGCCAACGGTGGACTCTTTAGTATATTCGACTGCCGGACACGTAATGTATTCCTTTATGGATGGATATTCAGGATACAACCAAATCTATATAACTGAATAAGATGTACATGAAACCGTCTTTAGATGCCCAAAGACTTTGGGATGCTTTGAATGGGTAGTCATGTCTTTCGGCTAGAAATTACGTCTCCGTTGAATAGTTTCCATAATGAACTTGATTTTTCACAACATGATAGACAAGTTTGTTGAAATGTAAGTAGAAGATATAGTGGTCAAGTCCATTAAAGAAAAAGATCATTTCGAACAACTAAAACGTTCATTTGAGCGAATGAGGCAGTACAAATTAAAATTGAATAATTTGAATTGTGCATTCGGTGTTAATGCAGTGAATTTTCTTGATTTTCTAGTGTACAAAAGATGGATTGAACTTTGATAAAAATAAAGCGAATGCCATTTTAGAAGTCAAATCACCTGGTAACAAAAAAGAATTACAAAGATTTTTAGGCCAACTTTTTAAGACGCTTTATCTCTAATTGTATAGAGCGAACGAAAGTTTTTTCACCTCTTTTAAAGCTGAAAAATCGGGACGAATTCGTCTGGAAGGAAGAGCATCAAAAGGTTTTTGATAGCTTGAAGACATATTTGTCAAGTCCGCCAATTCTAGTATCACCTGTCCAAGGAAGGCCATGAAGGTGTACGTATCGGCTGAACACGAATCAATAGCTGGAATGATCACACAAGAAGACCAATTTGGTGAAGAATTAGCAATTTACTATTTGAATAGACGGTTAACAAATTGTGAATGTAATTATTCTACTATTGAAAAGTTATGTGTTGCTTTATATTTCACATATACAAAACTAAGGGCTTATTTACGGCTTGTAACCGTTTATTTAGTTTCTAAAGTAAATCTAGTTAAGTATATGTTTTCTCGCCCAATTTTACACCAAATGATAAGCCTTTGGACTGTAGTATTATCGGAGTTTGGAATACAATACATACCCCAAAAGGCAGTCAAGAATTAAGCATTGGCTAACTTTTTGGCCGATCATCCATGCCTTGACATACTTAAGGAAATTGAATTGGAGATCTATTCATTAGAATTAAAATCTTGGATTTTGTACTTTGATGAATCAAAAACCTTTAGAGGTGCGGGGGTAGGAATAGCGTTAATAAATCCTTTAGGGATTTGTTACAAGTTCGCTTTTGCTTTGGATAGAATGTGAACTAATAATTAAGTCGAATACGAAGCATTAATCGTGGGTTTAGAGCTGTTAGTAGATATGAGAATAAAGAATGTGATCATTAGGGACGATTCTCAATTGGTAATTCACCAATTAATTGGTAATTTTAATTGCCAAAGTGATTCTGTCATAAGTCAATATGAAATCCCCTAAGAGTTGTTGGAAGAATTTGACCAAGTAGAGTTTCAATATGTTAATAGGATATATAATGATATAGCAAACGAATTATCCCAAATGATTTCAGGTTATTCAAAATTTTAAATTCGGAATCTACTTGTGAGTATGGAGTAATTTTGCCCGTAGTATGAAGGAGGGCGAAAATGATTGGAGTTCATCGCATATAAGATGGAGATGCGATAAATTGGATGGCGGAGATTAAAAGGTTCTTGAAAGAACCTAACAAGGAAAGTAGTAGAAAAATAAAGCTGCGTTCGTTGAATTATGTATTGATAAATGAGGAATTATTTAAGAAATGCTCTGATGATATACTACTAAAATGTGAATTTACAAGAAGCCAAAACGATCATGGCTGAAAGGATATGTGGAGCCCATCAAACTGGCCAAATGATGAGATGGTTGAATGTTAGGAGTGGATACTTTTGGCCCAAAATGGGAGAGGCATGCGTTCAGTATGCAAAGAGTTGTTTAGCATGTCAAGAGCATGGTTTGATACAAAGAGTACCGCAAGAGAAATGACACTCATTATTAAACCCTGGTCGTTCTAAGGTTAGGGCGATAGACTTGATAGGGAAGATTTATTCCCATCGTCCAAGCAACATACATTTATAATAGTTGCAACAGATTTTTTTACTAAATGGGTAGAAGCGATACCTTTAAAAAAGATCTCTCAGAAAAGTGTCATAGATTTTATTCGTGACCACATTGTTTATAGATTTGGGATTCCACAAACTTTAATGATGGATCGCGAAACCTCTTTGAATGGAGATCAAGTGAAGGAATTTTTGAGCGAGTTTGTAGTCAAATTAGTAAACTCCACACCTTATTACGCTCAATCTAATTGATAGGCCGAATTTTCTAATAAGATTCTAAAAAATATCATAAGGAAAATGATAAACGAAAATGTCAGAAATTGATATGAATGCTTAAATAAAGCTTTATGGGCTTACAGGGTGTCGCCTCGTTCAAGTACCAAAGTTACTCATTTTCAACTTACTTATGAACAGGAGGTTGTTTTGCCTATGGAAATTAGTGTGCAATTGATCAGAGTGTGTTTGCAGCATAATTTAAGTGATGGAGAGTATGACAAATCATTAGCCCAAAAACTATTGAAGTTGGACGAATTAAAGTTGGATGTCCTAGATAGATTGCAAGTTTAAAAACAAAGAATGATTAAATTTTATAACAAAAAAGTTATAGCCAAATCTTTTAGTCTTGGCAAATTGGTTTGGAAAACAATACTCCCTTTAAATAGCAAAGATCCAAAATATCTTTTATTATCAAATATTTGTTACAAACCATGAGATACAAAATATAAGATGCTCATTCTTCTATCAATCACAAAGAAAATGGCGAATTGGCATTAATCGCCTTCCTAAATGCATTGTTGCAATGACAAGCAAAAAGGCTGAGAAGCACTCTCAACAAGCAGTTGACTCTCATTTAGAACTCTCTCTGGAAATCATAAATGAAGGAGGTGTTGAGAAGACCTTTATTGATCAACGAATATTTCCTATATCTCTCATACGAAAGAAAACGACGAGACGGATAGAGAAGATGAGAAAAGATTGAATAATCCATCTCTGTTGAAAGATAACCAGTTATTGGAATGCCAGATGATGGCAAATGGGCTAACTTCGCGAAGAAAATGATAAAGATAACAAATGCGTAATACATACGCATTATTATATAGAGGTGTGAAGGTAAAAAGACGGGATATGAATGGTCACTTACATGCATAGTAACCGAAATTAAATGACCCAACAATCTTGGAAAAGAATATCACAATACCAAAAGTTTTGCTCCGTGTAAAAATTTTATGAGGGGAAATGTCCACGAGTTTAGCACAATATAATTAAATGCTTTAGGGATTGACGATTGAAGAATATGCCAATTATACTATTTCCAAATCCATACAAAAGTCATTACGCAAGTAAATAAAATAGTCGATCCATTAATGACATTGGTTGCCGTTATATTCGAATTAACAGTGGTTGCCACACAAAATTACAAGGAAAAAAAAAGGCATCAATGTCTTAATTACAGTTTATCCCAAGCTGTACGCATTTGTTCCCTAAGTTTCCCCCACTCATCGCTCTGCTTAGAAGAAACATTAGACAACTCAGTTGCAAAATCCTCGTCAACCTCTAGCTTTGCATAACGCTCAACCAAAGACTTAGTTCGCTCAATTCCTTGGGAAGCATTACACTTCATGGCAGCTAATCTAGCCATACAGTCGTTCATCTTTGCTTGGAGTTCCTTCATTTCTACAGTTAAGCTTATCATCAAGGAGTTCTCAACCATAACTTCAGAGGAGATTTCATTTAATTCAACCTTGGCTTTCTCAATCTCTTGAAGTAAAGAATCTTTTTCAGATACAGCATGGACATACTGAGTCTCCTTGGCTCTCAACTCGACATTGTTGGCTAATAAAGAGCTGATCTCGGAATGGATAATCTTCAACGTCACCTTAAAGTCAGATGAAATGTTGAGCGAAGGAAGTTCAAGTGCTTGCGCCATTTTCGCACTCAAAAGCTCAAACTTACTTCTCTGTTTAGCAGCACTGGCTTTGTTGACATCTATATCCATGAAAGAAACATACTCAAGCAATGATTGCTTGAGAATATTCATATTTTCTTCCGAGACAGCAGCAGATGAAACAAGAGGACGACTGGTTGAAGAAGGGCGAGATGTCCTTACTTGTTCCCAAGAAGTGAACAAGTCCTGGATGGAGCGCACGATGGCTTCAGCATCCTGTAAAGTAAAATGTAAGCATTTAGCACTTTCATTGCAGTAAATAAGGTGAAAATGAAAGATAAAACAAAGGCTACCTCATCATTAGCCTTAGAAAGTTCAGGCACGTCACCGGGCACGTCCTCCAAAGAAATAATGCATAAATTTGAAAAATATTGCTGAGAAAATTTCATTATAGAAACGTGTTTGACATAATGAAGTTTCAAGCTTAAATATAGTTGTCATGCTGTCTATATATTCAGGGCGATGCATAATGACTTGGGGGTTTAACCAACAAAACCATGAGAAAGAAATACAATGGCCGTTTTGTGATATCATAAATGCATACTACAGCAGAAAATGAATTACCCCTTGGTTGGAAGAGATTTGTGCTTTTCCAAACTGTGAGCTCAGTTGTTCTTGCTTATATTGTTGGTTTGTATCTTGTTGTCTCTCCCAGGATCTCTCCTCTGCAGGAGCAAAAAATTGTGCAGACCGATTATGCCAGTCACGGCTGTCCGGCTGAGAATAGCGACTCTGGCCCTGATTCTGAAGCTACACAAAGGGAAACCGTCCAAATATTTTGTATCAAAGAAGTTTGATAATAAAAAGAAGATAGAAAAATTACATAAATAAAAAATAATGAGTTGACCTTTACCAACTCTTATAACATTCCGACAGATATATCAACATGCTAGCCAAATAAAATGCAAACATAAATCCAGAAAGTTTTTATTATTATTATTTCTTTTCTAAACCAACACAAAGATTATAAAACAGTTACGTAATAATAGGAAGGTGTGGCATATCCTCAGAGACAAGAAAGAGACTCACATTGCTCTCTCCATGAGCCCAGCTTGGATCTTCACCAAAAAATTCAGCATCAACCTCTTGTTTGGCCTTCAGAATGTCCTCTGGGATGATAGCCACCTATGAAAAATAAACAGCGATATCAGATCCATGAAAGAAATGAAGAATCGTAAATTCTAATGTGTCCCACAGGCAGTGGAAAGAGTATGAACAAATTTATTTGGTCAAGCAAATGGCAGCATGCAGTTGGAGTAATCAATCAAGGGATACCACAAGAACAGTTCTGTAAACATCAAGAAGAAGCATTACCTCCCTTAGCTGTAAGAACTGGTCTCTGGTGTAGCGAATCCGATTGAGGCCATGAAATCGGGATTCTCCAGTCTGCAATATTCCGAAAAAGATACAAATTATTCACTTATATCAATCATCAAGCAAAGAGGTAAAAGAAAAATATATTGCTAATCCAAAACAATCACGATTTTGAGTTGCAAAATAAAATTTTTAAAAAAAATGACCGCAGGGGACATGAACTTTATTAAGTTACGAAGATTGGAGTGAAAGATATATGCAGTTCTATAATGAGGTTGCACTAAATGGCAAAGCATGGTGCAATCAGTTAAAACCATCACAACCAGGTTTTGAATGAATTCACTGAAAAATCCACAAGTGATACTGAAATGCTGGAAGCTCAAAGAATTTGGATGATAACGTAACAAAAGTCAATCAAACATCAAGGGAAACAGTTGTACACCGTCACAAAAAACAACTTTTCCACAATTAAAGATCATAATTATGACCACAGTGTAAGTATACACGTTGTACGCAAGGATGCAGGAAAGGCAACTAGCTAATTAAGATGTTCAACCTTATTTAACATAATTGTGCAAAGCTCAGCTGTAGACACGGGCCACATGACTATCTAGGAAATCCCACCCATTTACGCATTTATCGAGCATGTTAGTATAATGACATGCAAAGCTCCAGTACAGTTTCCATATTCGTAGATTCCTTTGTGGGCATCCTGAACTCCATGCATGCCCACCTAAAGCCTACGTATTTCTTTATGTCCATATTTACAGCAACTACACATCTTACGTGCAGTGCCAAGAATTAGGACATTGATATTAAACTACTCCCACAACGTGCTAGAAATTAAGAAATCATTGTTAAGATCGGAAACTAGAAGAGAATTTTTTTTATTTTTCAACCAGATCCGATACAATAATAAATTCAATGTATCCTTTATTTGGTAATAGGGGAAGTTTTTAACCTGAAATAACTAAAGAGAATATTGGTTGTGGCATTCTTGATACTAGAATCCACATTTACCATCAAATTTAACAAGCATCAACAAAATGCACACACAAAGGTAAAGCTGAATTTAGTGAAAAATCAAGATTCGGCAAAAATTTGAAATATTATACTTCCATCTATAAAAAAGAGACCTTTAAATATTTTTTTAAAAATATCTACAAGTCAAAATGTTTTAAGCTTCAGTTCAAAGAATCAGACACGGATTGGAAGCTTTTTAAAGCTCATTACCATATAAACACACACGTACGTATGAACTCATAGACACGCGTATATCAAAAACCATAAACAGGAAGATTGTTGAATCCAAATTTGAATCTTTTTAATAAAAAAGCACCGACTATCAAAACAATCAATTAATAAATCGTAAAGAAACATAAGTCAGGAACAAGTGGATAAAAACCCAAGATCTGAAATTATAAATGAAATGAAAAAAAAAAAAACCTTGAAGGAAGGGAGTGAAGAAGCACCACCACCATGGGGACGCAGCAACTGCAGATCAGTAAAAGCCGCCGATGATGAGTCAAAGCGTGAGCCCAAAAATCTGCTTCCACCACGGGATCCACCTCCTGGTCTCAAGCTCAAAACCGTTTGGTCAGCCTGCATACCTTGCAATCAAAAATTCTCCTTTGTCCAATCAAGAAGCTCTGTAACAACAGTCCAATATATATAGAGAGAGATAGAATTGAGATAAAAAGGTGGGAGAGAGAGTGCTCTCTCTACTGTGAAAAAGGGAGGAGATATGGGAGAAAAGTTAGGAGCCAGTTTGTCACCATTATTGGAGCTTGTCCGGCACGAATTAAAATTCAATTAAAATTAAAAATATGATCGTTATTAGGTTCCGTTTGTCTAATAAAAGTCAATAGTAACAATTAGTTTTTTAATTTTAATCTGATTTAATCTTTACCAAACAAGTTCTTGGTGTATTGGTGGAGAAATGGAGTAAGGAATAGTATTTGTTGAAAAATGTGTAGTTGAAATTTAAAATAATTTTATTAATTTGTGTGTGGAATATTTTATTGAGTAAATATGTGATTGCGATTGTTTATTGTAGAAAATAATGTTTGTAAAAATGGTAGACAAACATGGACTTATACTTGTGAGGCGACAGGAGAGAGAAAAACATTTTCTTGGCTTCGGGTATTTTTGGAAGAATTAATCTATTCGTACCAAATTTGTTAACAAAGATTGTTGACAAAATGACGTGTACAGTTCAGATGAATTTTAGTTGACGGATAGGATTGAATTGTCTATTATTCTATTATTTCTTTACTTTTACGTTTTAAGTCTTTGTCCATTATACCTTTATTGTACCCTTATTGTTATTTTCCGCTTCAACCCCCATAATTGGTATCAGAGTCTAGTAACGAAATTGAAGAAAATTTTTAGAACTTTAAAAATATATTCTAAGATGAATAGGAATGATAAAATAATTTTAGAAGAATTACAAAATATTAATATATTAACTAGTTATAATAGAATTAAATTACAAGAATTAGCAATAAATTTAAGCACCGAATTTAAATCTCTAAATGAAGAGATAAAACAAATTAATAACTCTCAACAATTAGTTGAAATAAAAAATAAAGTATTACAAATTTTGATAAATGAATCTCCCGAATATGAAGAAGAAGCTATCAATTTTTAGAAAAGTATGATAAGTATACTCAGCGCCTTTGGAGAAAACTGATATTTAAAATCAAGATTTTATAACTCATATCAAGAATATGGAATCAAATTAAAGATAACATTAATGAAAATGACCGATGCTAAGCCAATATCTGAGAAAGCCAAAGATACTATACTATCTGAAGGCTCTAGTGTCAGTATATCTGAAGGCTCCAAAGCCAATATCGAACAAGAAGCATTCAAGCTTCATAAAATATCATTCACAGATAATAATACTTTGTCTCCTTCACAGGAGAAAATTTTTACAAAGAACAGTATCTCTATACAAGAGCTTGATCGCTGAAATATCATCAAAACATGTAACACCCCTGGTGTTATGGATATCAAAAATAAAAATGATTTTATGTTAGCGTATGTATTGTTCAATCTAGCATGCTGCTGGTCTACCGGTGTTGAAGGATGGATGAAAACTTTAACATATGGAAACTATAACAAATTCAATATTTATCCAAGAGCTCCAGCTTATTGGGTTCGTGCTCTATATAAAATGGCAAATTTACTCGGTATATATCCATCAGAATCTTTAAAGGAAATTCTATGGTACCGAAGGATGTGGTTCGAGCCATCGAACGATATTGTCAAGTTCTTAAACATAAGAACAAATATATCAGATTTTTCTCTACAAGTCTTGAATGAGATAATGAAGAAGATGGACTGCTTCCAGCAAGTCATGTCATAAGAATGGTTACTACTTCCAAATATTTTTAGCGGGAAAAGAGTGAAGTCTATGATACTACGCCAGAAGACATCAATGATTGGATGGCCTTCGTAGAGCCAGATGATATAATGAGCAGTTTGAGCATATTCAAAAAGTTATTGAAGAAAAGCAAAATATTTGGGTGTATGAATCACATGATCACCTAATCTACAGCAAAGCTGTGGTACCCACCAAACAAGAAGATTGACATTATCTTGACACATGGTGCGATCATATTTTTAAAGGACAAGCCAGTGAAACAATAAAGACAAAAAATGAGCTGTGTAAACAGTTTTGGCGGTATCTGAATCATAAGTGCGAATGCTGTTGCACTGAAGATGACTTCTCACCTATCTCATTGGATCCATCGAAATTTTCGGAGGAGTGATTTGAATCACATATGGAAAAGTAAAAGAAAAATGACCCATTTATCACTACTTTATCAGAATTATTTTTGATAAAGAAAAAATCTGAGTTCACCTCCATTATTTTCCATATTAAGACAAAAAACTTTAGACCACAGTAAGATACCCACTATCTTACACAGTAAAAGCAACAATAATGAAAGACAGCTGTGAAGCTTTTTCAAGTCTATAAATTGAAGACCAATTCATAGAAGAAGTCATTCGAGTCTTAAACCAAAAATTTATCTCTCTACCTTACATTTCAAATCTTATAACATTTTCAGTTTCTGTCTTTGAAGTGAAGTTTATAATAAGATAATGTCTATGAAATTCTAATTTCCTTAGAGAAAGTACCAAGAGTGTAGCCGAAATATGTATGTGTACTCTTATGGAAGAGATATTAGTGTGACGTTTTTATGAAATCGAGTTATTTCAAGACATTGTCTTTTTATCTTTATTATTTTCTCAAAAATTCTTATCTTACTCATACTCCAACGGTGAAAACCTTGGGGGTTAGTACAAGTATTTTGTTGTCGTGTGTAGGTGTTTTAGACATTGGTAGAGAAAGCCATGGGAACCCTGTTACTAGTCATGTTTTAACAAGGAGTTGAAAGGAAAAC